AATAGACAAACACCGATATAACCCAAACCATATTATGCACATATTCTAATTTCTTACTTTGATTATTGAGTTTGGTAGGGCTCTAGGTTGAACTTCAGTGAAACCTCGTTAATAAGAACACGGATAAGACGAACAGTGGCATTAGAATAGCTGGCATCCATGATGACTGGGGGTTCACTGGGTATGAAATATGGATCAGAATTAACTCCTGTTACTGCGAACAAATACCATCAGTCCCTTTGTGTTCATCCTGAAGTGGTTTGACTGTGTGTGGTTGTTTTGATATCAGATGAACTGATAATTGTATCATTGGCATGAATGGCTCAGTTAGTAACCAAGGGCACCCCTCATATTTACAACTTGCCTCTGATTTATCCGGACTATCTAACTTGATAACCAGTGAAATTGGTGGAGTGAAGAATATGTGGAAGTTACAGTCAAGCAGTCAATCACAGCAACGCAACACTACATACACACACACACACGCGCGCGCGCGCGCGCGCGTGCACACTTGTGCGCACGCAGAGCATCAACAATACCTCCCTGGCTAGCGGCAGAAGCTGTTTGGTATTTTAATTCTGTAAGGTGAAGGGCATAGGAGTAACCTTTCGGTGATTGGGATTGCTTCAACAGCAGTAGTGGCAGTGGAGATAAGATACATCTGGCATTTGAGAGTAGCGTTGGCGTAGCGATGAGTAAGCTGTTCCCGTATATCCTATTGGCTCGCAGGAGAACAGGAAATGTTTGCCTGAAAACTCATCACTGCTGATCACTAAATCGTAGTGTATGTTGTGTCAGGGAGCTGATATGGGAAATCGTGTTCTTAGGTCAAAGTCCATAGAACCGAGCCGTTCCTTTGTGCTTTCACGTTCCCCAATATTTCATTTCCAATTCTGGTTGCACAGAAGCAGCTTCAAAATGGAGCAGTTTGGAATCCACTCATAGTTCATCCCAAGTCCTAAAGTTCTGGAGGTGTTATCTCCCCATCTCATACAGAGAAGTGATAGTTTGCCATTACATTGGTAAACGGCGACTTTTTGGCAAGAGGGTTACCGGTCCAATGTCAATTTGGTCGATAGCGGTTGATTTCCGGTTGTAAGGTGACTACCCCTTTTGAATTCGGTTTTTTGACCATGAAAGGTCAACGTATAGCCGGAATCCCTTTAGCTGTCAGCAAAGCCATGGGAAACTTGTGCTGGACGTGGCAGCACTGTTCACCTTCGTGCAAAGATCTTCTTTGGATATTTTGGTCCATCGCTATTTACAGCTTTTGCGTAATTGTTGGGAATTGTGGCTTCTTCAATGCTGTGTCTGGTCAAAATTGGTTGAAGTGCACCTCAAAGGCTACGGTGCACACCAGCCCCAAGAAATATATCTGCCTGGCGTGGCACATCTGGACACAGAAATGACCGTAAACGATTTCCTTGGAGTGAATGTGATTGTTACACAGGTTTTCGCACCTATAGCGCTGCTCAATGAAATCCGATCGCGTGAGGCAGGTTTGCACCATGTAGCATTTCCCATCCCAGTGTTCACAGTTCTAGGGATGCACATCGCCCTGCACCATTTCCCATCCCAGTGTTCACAGTTCTAGGGCTGCACATCGCCCTGCACCATTTCCCATCCCAGTGTTCACAGTTCTAGGGCTGCACATCGCCCTGTACCATTTCCCATCCCAGTGTTCACAGTTCTAGAGCTGCACAGCGCCCTGTACCATTTCCCATCCCAGTGTTCACAGTTCTAGGGCTGCACAGCGCCCTGTACCATTTCCCATCCCAGTGTTCACAGTTCTAGGGCTGCACAGCGCCCTGTACCATTTCCCATCCCAGTGTTCACAGTTCTAGGGCTGCACAGCGCCCTGTACCATTTCCCATCCCAGTGTTCACAGTTCTAGGGCTGCACATCGCCCTGTACCATTTCCCATCCCAGTGTTCACAGTTCTAGGGCTGCACAGCGCCCTGTACCATTTCCCATCCCAGTGTTCACAGTTCTAGGGCTGCACATCGCCCTGTACCATTTCCCATCCCAGTGTTCACAGTTCTAGGGATGCACAGCGCCCTGCACCATTTCCCATCCCAGTGTTCACAGTTCTAGGGATGCACAGCGCCCTGCACCATTTCCCATCCCAGTGTTCACAGTTCCAGGGATGCACAGCGCCCTGCACCATTTCCCATCCCAGTGTTCACAGTTCTAGGGCTGCACATCGCCCTGCACCATTTCACAGCCCAGTGTTCACAGGTCTAAGAATGCACAGCGCCCCGCGCATACTTGACTCACTCGATTGGATTTTATCGAGCAGCCCTGTATGTAACAAGACAGAATGTGATAATGGGTCTGTTTATTTTTCTCATATACCTTATTTTCCGGAGAATAAACCACACTTCAAACACTCGAAATTCACCAAAAAAACGCCGGTGCGGCTTTTACTCAGCTGGTAAAATGAACGCCCCGTTCATTTTGCCAGTACTACGGTCCTGCTCAATGAAATCCAGTCGCGTCACTCAAGTTTGCGCCCTGCACCATTTCGCAGTCCAGTGTTCGCAGGTCTAGGGCTGTGCGTACTTGAGTGACGCGACTGGATTTCTTTGAGTAGTAAAGTGCGATAGCTTGCGTAACGGGCCAAAAAAATGCAACAGCACACAATAATGGCCGTGATGTGTAACTGCACGGATGCGCGTGGAAAACGCACATTGAATTATAAGTGCAAGGAACTTTTGATACGGGTCACTTGTCTTTCTCTCTCGCTCAAGGTCGTTTCCTTCTTCATTCGACGCTCAAAGCTGAATTATGGCACCGTCAACACGTAGCAGCTATGATACTCACTTCGAGCTGAGTGCCATTGAAGCTGCAGCACTTATTGAAAAATGTCAAAAGCGGCTTGCACACCGAATATCATGGTAGATGCCTGTATTTTTAGACAATAACACAAGCTGCGGCATATACTCCGGTGCGGCATACACTCCAGTGCGGCATATACTCCAGTGCGGCATATACTCCAGTGCGGCATATTCTCCAGTGCGGCATATTCCGGTGCGGCATATACTCCGGTGCGGCATATACTCCAGTGCGGCATATACTCCAGTGCGGCATATACTCCAGTGCGGCATATACTCCGGAAAATACTGTACAAAGTCTTTTAACGCACCATCTCCGCTATCTCCCCATAAACTGACATAATGTTGTGAGTATTTTTAGTATTCCCATACCTATGGTTTCTGCTGTGCACCAACTGTGTGTGTGTGTTTTAGGTTCTTCACGCCCTGTATCAGCTCTATTTGGACGACAGGATACATCAGTCATCAGCCTTGATGCAGCAATTGCCTCGCCAATGTCAGATAATGCACCTAGTTTGGAGCAAATACCAGACCAACTGCCTCAAGCAGTACTCACACACCAACAACAAAGCTTTCCTCAACAGCAACATCAGCAACAACAACACCAACAACAACAGCAGCAGCAGCAGCAGCAGCAACAACAACAACACCAACAACAGCAGCAGCAGCAGCAGCATGGGCATCCCAGTCATGCACTATCCAAGCAGCAAATGCAGCAACGACGAGTCATGTCAGCCCAGACGCAGATGGCTGCCTCACTACCCTCCTCTTCTTCGCACGCACCCAGCTCAGCACAAACGAGACCATTGTCTCGCCACTCACCAGCACCATTCTCTTCTGCAGAACAGGCTGCCCAGTATGAATTGCGACAAGCCACCATGCAGCTTGAACCTGTCCCCTCCTATGATGAAGCCACGGTTCATGCCCAACACCAACACCAGCAGCCAAGCGCTGAGCCCCAGGACCTGAGATACCACAAACAGCAAAACCAACCGGGGCACTCTTTGCCACACTCGGCTTCGGCTGAATTTGCCCACCAGCCTGTGCAAGGACAGCACATAACTTCACAGCGCCATCCTCCATTGCAGCAGCAGCAGCAGCAGCAGCAGCATACCCAGCATACCCAGCGCACGCAGACATTACCCGCACGCACACAACCATTTTTCGCGCACAACCGTCCAGCCAACACTGCCCAGCAAGTTGGAATGGCCGCTAAGCTCCAGCAAGCACAGCACCACTTTTAGAAAGAGAACCTATTGACTTGTTTGTCACCGTTTGAGTCTTCCACTGGATATTACAATATACAAAACAGCTTACTTGAATGTTTCTCATCAACCTAGAGAAGTGATTTACTTCAAGGGGTTTTCCATTACTTGCACTGGCGCGCTGATGTTAAATGCTAGAGAGCTGTCAATATTTTTTCTGCGACTTTATCAACCGTGTCCTCATAGAAATTATGTAGCAGATAAATTGTAATAATTTCCAAGTGATCGGCGGCTTTGGGGGGAAAAAACGTACACAGCTTGTGCTGTCAGTCTTCCATTCTCAGAGTTTACTTTTACTAAAGTTTTAGAGAGAGAGAGAGAGAGAGACGAGACAGAGAAACAGCTGTTGCTACCGCAGTATACCTTTGTCCGCAGACTGATTAGACGTTGCATGCGTTAAACACATGCAAGTCATTGTACTATTGAGCCTATGAGATCTTAGTCGTTCATGATCGTATTTTCTGTTGCATGTGTGCGTGCACCAATGCAGGTGTTTTTGGTCTTTGTATCTGCACGGTGTGCAAGCTTCTCCTGTTTTAGATTGCGTATGTGTGTGTGATAACTGCTACTTTGCTCACTGGAGGAGCCATTCTTTCATTTGATCTAGCTTTTGTTCCCTTTCCTGTCCTCAAAAATGCATGACGTTGTACGGTCTACTATGCTTCACAACTCCACTCTGTGTTCTGTACTTGTACGAACATACATGATTGTATACTTGATCGAATCTGAACCAGTCGTTCGTCTGCAGTGCAGGATACATCCATGTGTGTGTGTGTGTGTGTGTGTGTGTGTGGTACATGGTGTGTGTACATATGTGTGTGTGTGTGTGTGTGTGTGTGTGTGTGTGTGTGTGTGTGTGTGTGTGTGTGTGTGTGTGTGTGTGTGTGTGTGTGTGTGTGTGTGCATGCGTGCATGCTGTCGCGCCCCGTCCTATTCCGATATGCTCTATATGGTGTAGACCAGGTGTGCATTGGGTGTCGATTTGACATGGCTTCGCCAGTTGTGTGGATTATCTGGCGCTAGTCCATTCAGATCCTATCCGTTTCCGTTAAACATTGCTATAAGAGACAATCTGTGTGTGTACATCCAGTGCATTTGCAGATTTGCGACGGGGGTTTACATGGCACATGGTGTGTGTGTGTGTGTGTGTGTGTGTGTGTGTGTGTGTGTGTGTGTGTGTGTGTGTGTGTGTGTGTGTGTGTGTGTGTGTGCACGTGTGTTCATGTTTGCTTTGATTATCAATGCCTGCATGAGTAGTTCAGGAGAGTAGCTGACACAGCATTGTGCAGTGCTATTAGTCGTAGAGTCTTCTGAGTACATGGGGGCTGAGCCTACCCACAAATGTTCGTTGAGAGCATGCAGTGACTTCAAAAAGTAAAATTTATAATAATTTATTATGCTTTTTTCGCCTTTCGTATGAAAAGAGCAAAATAATCACCTTGGTGACACAGTAAAAATGACCATTTGAATCCAGTAACCCCGGGCAGTGTGAGATAGGACTGAGCCAAGTCACAGTAAGTGGATCACTAGTCACTAGATGACCAGCAAACATTTGCCGTGGGATAACCATGATAACCAGAGTCACGGGTCGGCGAATGTAGGGATGTTTCACATGTACAGTATCTGCACACTCTGATTTGTGTCATCTGGATACAACCAAGAGACTATCAGTATCGATCAAGCGTACATAATGTCATTATAATCCTGATGGTGAAATGAAAGAAAAGAAGAGCAGATAACAATCGTCAATAGTCCATACTGTAAGTCGACAAATGTTCGGCCCATTCAAATTTCGGCCTCCCTAACTATGCTGTCTGTATACACTGTCACATTGAACCTTGCAAAACAAAATTTCGGCTGCAACAAATTATTTTAAAAATAATAATTTTCGGCCAAAATACATGTATGATCACTGATCAGGCCGAAAATAGCCGAAAAAAGTATGCGCGGAAAATTTGTTGACTTGCATTATTCAGTGCTGTATTCAACATCAAAGTAACAATTTTGATCCCCAGACTAGACGTAGACCTGGCCAGTGTCTCCCTGCAAGCCTGTACTGGCTCAGTAGCTGTAGTGTAGGGTGTGTGTGTGTGTGTTTTTTTGTTTTTTTTACTAGAGCCACGTAAACCCGTCATGTGTGAGCCATGAATAAAGTGTGAAGAGTTACTGTTAGTGTTAGTGTTAGTGTTGTTTTAGTCCTACTACATACGGTAGTGTAACTCGGCCGTAGTCATGTACATGATTGTACACCACTGACTTATCGATAGCTGCAGAGGCCTGTCGAGTGTCGTAGTATCGACAGTGACATAAGAAAACCACAGACGTCTGAGCACTGCTGTGTATATGGTGTATGCTATGGCTGCTTTTCTGCTTACTCATGCGTGTTGCGTCGGTGTAGCGCGCGATAATGTCTATCCTAGGCCTAGGCGGATTCCTGAAACGTTCTGAAGTGGCTAGCTAGCTGGAGCTGGAGGAATACTTTTAGTTGTTCTCAAATCACAGTGCTGTGCTAGAATGGCACACATGTAATGATGTATTTCAAAGCAACTACGAGCAGGACTGATCGAGCAGGACTGATCACTTCAGCCATTGTTCTTGTCCGAATATTTGCTTCGCTAGATCAGATCTTCTCAGAGCCAGCAGGACCTAGATCGTTGGTGCTTGACGCTTGGAAGGACGAAGGCAATGAGGCAGAACACATCATGGCGTCTCCCACTGGTCAAATCAGTATTCTGCATACTCTGGCTATGCCTGTGGTAAGCAAAATCCTTTATCAAAAATTTCTGAACTGACACTTCGCGGCATGTATAATTTTAGCTGACGTCTACCCCGATTGCCATCGTGAGGCTAAACCGTTAACGAAAGCACGATCGACAAAGAGGACAGCACACATTGTGGAGGGAGAAGCGAGACAGGGGGAGAGAAAGTTTTTCGTACTCAATGCACTCTGGACAGGTACCGTCTTCTGGCTGATCTACACAAATCTATACCTTGTCCATGTCCGACAAAAATGATACATGTAGGTTACACTTATTTTTGCTTGATGATTGCGTTGAGCGTGAAACTCGTCTTGCGAAAAATCTCCTGCGGCCTTCTTTGTAAGGAAGCTCTGTCCTTTGTGGTAGTGAATGGTGTGTAGACTGAGGACTGCATCCAAACATTGAAGTTCCACTGTGTATCGTGTCCATGTGCTTAGTCTAGTCTCTAGATCCTGAGAGCAAGTACAATCATGTTGTTTTGGCTGCCTTGTCACTATCCTAGCCGTCGTCTTCTCACCCATATCATTGTTGCCATCATGTATTTATGTATTTATTATTTAAAGGATTTCCCAATGGCATAGCGTATCGGGGGATCTCCTAACAGTGAAAATGATCCTCGATTTATATACTAGTGAATCGACT